TTTGATCCGACGTGACCCCATTAGTAAATTGTCATCGGCATACTCTAAGTCATATGAACTCAAAGTCCAGTATCTAGATCGTGGGGTAAGGGCTTAGGGATTTGGGTCCAGGGTTTAAGCTTGTAGGTACCGAGTCAGGTGAGCCAAATCCCGGCTACGATGGCCTTTGCGGCAGCAGTCAGGCTGTGAATCTGGAAACCCCACAACGTTTTACAAGTAGAGTTTAGGGCTTAGGGCAAAAACTCTATAAACTCCTGGACAAGCCTTGCAGGCCCGTCTGAAGGAACCCCCAATGTAACGTCGAAATTGGTTTGCACACCGCGTCTCGTCTGTACGTGCAGCAGACTACAGCCGGCACACCCACTCTAACGGTTCTTAACTGCTGCATGCGTTGAAAGCATATGCATGGAGGTATTATTATTATTACTACTACTACTTCTACTACTACCACTACGACTATTGTTGCTGTTTTCTATTCTTCTTACTACTATTGTGTGGAAATTCTGGAGTGTGAGCCTCGCGTGAACCTTTGATGTCTGCAGGCTGATTGCTCCGAAGCAGGTCAGACGTTGTCAACACAGATGCTGTATAGCTATAGTAGTCCGCCGAAATAGGCAGTGATGAAGTATTGAACATTCTGTGTGGTGAAAAAAGTTAGTGTCCAAATTCGCACATGGCTCTGCGCTTGTGAAGCCGTACATCCAAGTGTACAACAGCAGTCATTCGGAAGACCTGTTCTTCTACAGGTTATGAGCCCAAAGGGCGTTAGCCAAGGGCAACACGATCAAAGGCAAATGCTGGAGGGTGAAACAGCTGGACCTGCCTATGGTGCGGTGGCTACGGGAAGTATTCTGAATGGTGTGACGCCTGCCGGACTGTCTCCAGTTCGGCAGGATTCACAGAATGTTGCGGCTTCGTCTGGTGGTGAGGAACGAAACGAACCAACCGGATCGGGCGCGAACACCGGACGTGGAGCGCGTACGAGTGAAGCCGCAGCAGCAGTAGAACAAAAGAGAGCAACCGCAGCGCCTACAGCCACAACCCAGCAGTTCCAGCAGCCGCAGCAGCCCTTGACTCAAGATGATGCGCAAGCTCCAGTACCTCCGCAACGAACAAGGGACACGCTCACTGATGCTGCGAGGCCGACTACTTCATCTCAAGGAATACCTCAACAGCTACAGACCGCTGTGCAGCAGCTGTCACAGCAAAGAGCCTCAGTGGTACAAGCAGTGCAAGCAAGGGCTTCGAGAGCTCTTCAGGGTGTCCAAGGTTCTCCTCAACCTCCCACCACTCCTGACGGCCAACGTCAAGGGCTTTGGTCGGTCACGAGGATTAGTGAAGTTCTACATCGACGAGCGGTGGCTCCTGTTATGGGTCATGTGGGTGGACATGGTGAGAGCAGCGAGCGCGAAGTCCGAACGGTGGTTTCGCCTTGGCAGTCACCGGAGCCAGCTACTACGCCGGCTACCACGCCACTGATGTCGGCGGAAGTTCGCCAGGCTATGGAGGATTGGACGGCGAGACGCACGGCCATAACTACGAATGTGAGATCTTCGGTGGGTCCTCGGGATGACAGCTCTTCGGCAAGTTTGTCTCAGGAGCAGATCATGGAGGAGGTTAGAAAGCAGGTGCAGCTTGCCATGTCCGGACGAGACACTGAGGTAAAAGATCTGAGGAGCGAGAACAGCGAGCTTCGACAAGCTTTGGAAACTTCGGCGCAGCTGCTTAATGAGATGATGGCTGCAGGAGGTGGCAGTGGTCAAGGGCAAATGCAACAAGAGGCTCGTGGCGGGCATCTAGGCCTTCAACCTGGAGGCCAGCCACGAAGTGATGTGCAAGGCTCTAAAGAACCACGTGAGGCTCCTTCCTTTCTACCTGGAAGTGATAGGGCATCCGGAGGCAATCCCCCTACGTGGAGCAGGGCGGAAGCGCCAGTTCCTGGTGCGTCGGGGGGACTTTCGGGTCGCCTGTTGGGCCGAGGAGGCAGTCCGGCGAGAGTGGAACCCGGCAACACAGCGGCAATTCCACAGTTTGGACCTTTGGGAGGACAGCAGGCGCAAGAGACCCAGAATGTTGACGAAGGCTCTCCTTTGGGCATTTTAGTCCAAGGTATGAGGCAACTTCAACAAGTGTACATGGAGAAGAAGGGCGGCGTTGACAACGAGACTTTGAAAAGTGCCGAACTACCCGCCCTACCGGAGCTCAGTGGTGACACAGGAGTTGAGTTCAGCGATTGGCTTTATGTGGCGGAGCAGACCATAGGGGCCATGTCCGATTCAGCCTCTACTTGGTACGAAAAGACTTTGGCTTGTGTGCGCGAGGCCTACAACCGGTACCAGGTGGCGTCCCCACTGGAGAGGCTATCTATTGGACCTCGTCCAACCCCAGAGCTACTTGAGCCTCGATGGATTCGGCTAGACCACAAGGTGATGACTTTGATTTTGGCAGCAATGCCGAAGATGGTGCGGGAGGACGCGGTGACGCACAGGGTGTCCTCAGTGGCTGCGGTGCTTTACCGGTTGCACATCTTGTACTCCCCGGGTGGCATCGCGGAAAGAACTACGGTGTTGAAACAGTTGGAGGGCGTAGGAGCTGGCGACAATGTGGTTGATGTGATTACCGCGCTGAGAAAATGGAAGCGTCACTTGTCCAGATCTCAGGAGATGCACCTTTCCGTTGCCGACGACAGCATCCTTCTTCGTGGCCTGGACACCATATGTGCAAGTTGCGTACAGAAGCACTCAGAGATGAGCTTTAGGCTATCCTTGGCAAGGAACGAGCTACAGCTACAAAGCAGGCCAACCCAGGAAACGGTGATGAAGTTCTACGACCACCTGATGGCAGAGCTGCAGCAGGCCCTTCCGGCCAAGTGGAATCAAAGGGGGTCCCCGGGCACAGGGGAGACCCCAAAGATTAAAGCAATCGGAGCCGGCACTGGTGAAGCTTCCACTACAACGAGCCCGACCGCGTCGCCTTCAAGCTCTTCTCAAAGGGGATCGGCGTCATCTACACCGTGTAAGTTCTTCCTCTCGGACGCAGGCTGCAGACGAGGACAAGCCTGCAAATACCAGCACGAGTTTCAGAGCAGGGACGAGAAGCGCTCCAGGTGTTGGCATTGCGGCTCCAAGCAGCATCGACAAAATGAGTGTCCAGCAAAGGAACCTCGGCGACCCAAGGACTCGTCGTCGTCTTCGACTTCCTCGGCAAGGCCCCAACCTACGCCAGCAGTGGCAGCGGTACAACCTGTGATTGAGCCGAAGGCCTCTATGCCATTGGCGGCGGGAATAGCGTCCTCTGTCCCTACTACCTCTGTGAGTGGTGACGATGTGGGGGTGACTGAGTCTTTGGGGGCTACCACCAATGCGGCTGTTCAAGGGCCAGAGTTCCAAGCTTTCATGAAGGAAGTTAATACTATGCTGCAACGAATGACCAGACTCAACAGTCTGAAGATTGCTGAGTCTCTGGATCCAGAGGTAGACAAGATGGAGGCGACGATGGCCAAGTTCGATGAGAAGACGGAAGCCTATGCCCTCCTGGATTCGGGAGCCACTCACCCTTTCAAGCCATTCAACGAGCAGGATTTCACGGAGATGGTACAAGTGCAGCTGGCCGACGGTCAAACAGTGGACTTACAGCAGAACCGCGCAGGTACATTGATGCCAGTGAAGAATGCAGCGAGCAAGGGCAACCCTGTCACCACAATTGTGCCTCTGGGCACATTAGTTCAGGAACTCAACTGCACGGTGTCGTGGGACAGACACGGCCTTCGTGTACAACATCCAGAACATGGAGAACTAACCACCCATGTGGTTGGCTCGTGCCCCTTCATTGGGGAAACAAAGGCCTTGCAGCTCATCGAGGAGATCGAGGCCAGAAAGCTAGAGCAGCTGAAGGTGAACATAGTTGAGACCCAGCGGCGCGTCATGGGCATGGAGGCTGAGACTTCATTCGAGCCGTCTTTGATGGAGTACAGAAGGTCTGGAAAGAGAACAGACGGCTTGAGGGCCCTGATGTCCTCTGACTCAGTGTTTCATCACATCACTGAGTCACAACGTTGTGCACTTGTTCAGGACATTGACTTGACTGATGCAGCTGGCATGAAGTACTTGAAGGCCCTCCCCATCAAAAGAGCGTTGAGGAGGAGATTGCTGTCCGCAAGATGGATTGTGAACATGTGTTCGGGGCCAGATGATCACCCGGACCTCAAGGCCCTTGAAACGGATGACCTGGTGCTGTTGGAGCTGGACTTATTCAAGAGCAAGGCGTTCAATCTACGAGACCATGGCCCGGCTTATCGGGCGCTCCTGTGGGCGGCGATGAGAGGACAGCTGGAAGGCATCCTTGGAAGTCCACCCAGGGGTGAAGGTGAAGGCGAATTGGCGCCCAAGCAGTTATTCCTGTGGTGGATTGGCAAAGTGGCCTCGGAATCCATTGAGAAGCGGACCCCTACTTTGCGATGACTATGCCGGTGAACAGCGCTGTTTGGCTTTCGCCTATTTGGCCAAAAATCCGTGCACTACGTGGAGGGCTTCGATGGATTTCAGCTGGGGCACTGAGGTGCGTCACGAATCTGGCGACTACATGGCCAGTGGAGGAATGGGAAGTTAAGACTGGAAAGGGACAACTTCAATGGACCAATGACTTCAGACGCTGTTAGGTTCAAGGAGTGCATCGATGGCGAAACTCAATTACGATGTGCAAAATGGATGGACCTCTTTCAATGTCAAAGGAGGAGCTCAACAAGTGGACTCAGCATGTACGCCAAGGCCACATCCCTTACAACAAGCGTTGCCGAACATGTGTGGAAACCAAGGCTGTTGGCCACTCTCATCGTAGAGTACAAGCCCCTTCGTGCTTCACGCTTTCGGTGGATGTTTGTGGCCCCTGTCGTGTAAAGGGCCAAGCGGCGGGAGCACTCGATTACCGGTACATGTTGGTGGGGTCATACACTATGCCGCTCCTGAAGAAAGAGCGTTCTCCCTCCGAAGATGTGATCTTGAATGAACCAGAAGGAGGAGTGGGTGACATTGATGCGCCTCTACCAGAAGATGCTCCAGAACCAACAGATGGTCCAGATCCCAGTGGTCCTCTACCAGAAGATGTTCCAGAACCAGCAGATGATCCAGATCCCAGTGGTCCTCTACCAGAAGATGTTCCAGGACCAGCAGACGAACCAGATCCCAGTGGTCCTCTACCAGAAGATGTTCCAGAACCAGCAGATGATCCAGATCCCAGTGGTCCTTTACAGTTTGAAAGTCCAGAACCAGACATGGAAGGCCTGTTTGAGATGAGTGGTGAAGATCCTATACCCCAGGTGGGCGACCTCGAAAGAGAAGAGATGGATGCCTTGAACGCCCAGTACAACGAGCTTGTGGCTGAGGTAGGCGACACGATGGACTATCAAGTTCTTCGATACGCAGTACCAATGCGGTCTCGAAGGGCTTCAGAGGTGAATGCCCGAGTGCGTCAAATGTACCTGCAGGTGAAGGCCGATGGATTGGAGGTATTTCGTCTACACTCCGACAAAGCTACCGAGTTGTGCAATCGACGCCTTCGCGAATGGCTGTTGGAGCGTGGAGTCTTGGCCACCACCGGAGAAGCCCAAACACCCCAACAAAATGGGCGTGCCGAGGCCACTGTGAAGTTCGTGAAGTCCGAGGCTCGTCTCCTTATGACTACAGCAAAATTACCCAAGTCCACATGGCCCTTGGCGATGATGTACGCCACCGCACGACAAAGGCAACGCGCTTTTGGGACTCCTGTACATGTTCGCACCAAAGTCTATGGCCAAGCGGGAAGGTACGATGTGGAAAACAAATGGGCTCAGGGTGTTTACGTGGGGCCGTCGGAGGATGTGCAACATGGTCATGTGGCTCGGTTCCCAGACGCCACCTTCGTTACCAGCCTGCATCTCAAGCATAACCTGGTGGATGCTGATGAGCTGGTGGATTTGGTCCCAAGGGAAATCGAGATCCCACTGCCGGAGCGGAGGATTCGAGGAAAGAAGCGACTACATCGGCTTCTAGTGGACCACCCTTTGAGTGTTGAGGAGGAGCTGGCAGAAACTGTAGCAAAGGAGCTCATCCGGAGTGAGGACTGGTCTGTGGAAGGGATCTTACGACTCTTTGACTATCTGAAGGCTATCAAACCGAAGCAGGCCAGTGGGAGAGCGGCGACAGGGACAGGATGTTCGTGGTACACCGGCATGTTTGTGCATGGAGGTGTGGCGGGATTACGGGGTGCTACTACGCGGATGAAGTGGTCGACAAAGTATTTGGTGGAAGCAGCCAAGCTGATTACGGAGCATGATGATTTTACGGCTCTCGGGTTGCTGGAGGACATGGACAACGGGTGCCACAAGGACTCGCACAATGAGATCGACAGCACCAATGTGGTGACGCTGTTAAGGGCCCCGGACCAAGGAGGAAATCTTTGGCTAGAGCATGAAGACATGGACCCCAAGTATGCTGAGTGGAAGCTTGTGGCGAGGAAGCTGTGGAAAAAGGGATTTACGCACCAGCTAGAAGTTGGCAAGCCCTTCAGGTTTCCACCGCGACGATGGCATGAAGTACAACCCTGGTCTGGAAGGCGTGTAGTGATGGTTCTGTACACTCCCAGGATCAGCAAGCTGCACTACAAAGACCGGGACATGTTACAGTTTGTGGGCTTTCAGAGCGTGTGCTTGAATATGATCCACAACAATGGTCCGCAGTCCGACAGCCACGTGATCCACAACAATGGTCCACAGTCCGACAGCCCGTGATCCACAACAATGGTCCGCAGTCCGACAGCAACGTGATCCACAACAATGGTCCGCAGTCAGACAGCAACGTCTACAACAATGGTCGCAGTCAGACAGCAACGTGATCCACAACAATGGTCCGCAGTCAGACAGCAACGTGATCCACAACAATGGTCCGCAGTCAGACAGCAACGTGATCCACAACAATGGTCCGCAGTCCGACAGCAACGTGATCCACAACTATGGTCCGCAGTCCGAGAGCCACGTGATCCACAACAATGGCCCGCAGTTGACCAGTAGTGTCGTGGGAGACCAGTGTGATCTCTATCTCATCAAGGCGTTGGAATCCCCAGAAGCTGAGACTCTTGATGATGCACTACTTACCCTTACAGAAAGCCAAAATCAACTTCTTGAGGATCTTCAAGAGAGATCTGAGCGCCTGAGGATGATGATTGAGGAAGAGGAGATCCTTGCTGAAGAATGTCGACGAGCAGGACAACAAGTGGATGATGAAGTGGACCATGTGCGTGCCTATCTGGAGGACATGATGGATGAGGTTACTCATTTGAAGGCAGCGGGAGGAAAGGATGCATCAGAAGCGTGTCTGAGGGCGGCAATGGTGCAAGAGGAACCGGACTATGAAAGGCTTCTACAAGAGTTGGACGGTGACTTAGAAGTGGTCCATACGGTTCCCCTACAGCAAGTTCGTGCTGCCCTGGATCAGTGGGTGGAAGCTTTGGAAAAGGAAGTGAAACAGCTTCTGGATGGAACGTTAAGGCCTATGCCAATTGCCCGAGCAAAGCAGATGGAGGCTCAAGGTCTTCTGAAGTTGGCTCAGTCGAAGGGTGTTTTCACTCTAAAGCCGCCGCAGGTCAAGGGCAAGAAGGTGAGGAGAAAGTTTCGACTCGTCCTGTGTGGGAATCAAGTTGATCGTGATGATGAAACTTTCAACCTGTATGCCAGTGGCGTGAGTGCCGACACGGTGCGGTTGGCCTTAGCTTACGCTTCCCACCGGCGCTGGTACGGGGGAACCTCCGACGTCACAGGAGCATTCCTCCTTGCTTTGTGGCCAGACCACTTAGCAAGGTACGCTATATTTCCTCCAAGGATTCTCATCAAGGCTGGTCTCGCACGAGCTGATGAAGTGTGGGAGGTCATGCGACCTTTATATGGCCTTCGGGAATCGCCTGCCATTTGGGCGAAGTGCAGAACCAATCGCTCAAAGGAGGCCCGAATCTCATACCAAGGCCGCACTATCGTGCTAAAGCAGTCAACGGCGGACCCGGAGATCTGGCTTGCCTTTGACGAGGACGACGTGCTGAGGTCGCAGGGAAGTCTCCTAGCCCTTATCATCACCTATGTGGATGATTTGTTCTACCTGTCGGACAAACCCATTATTGAGGCAATCCACGCCTGGGTTCAAGAGGCCTGGCCATGCAGTGAGCTAGAATGGGGCGACGGGCCTACCGGAACCCGGTATTTGGGAATGGAGATACAACAAAGGCCAGATTTTGCGTTCGAGCTATCACAAGAAGGGTACATCCGGGAGCTGTTGCGCAGCTACGGGATGGAAGATGCCCTGTCCACGAAGCTTCCATGTCCGCGAGAATGGTTGGCGGGTGATGAGTCCGAGGAGGAGAACTACACCATGACCGAGCTCAAGCAAGGCCAAAAAACCGTGGGAGAACAGTTGTGGTTGATGATGCGTTGCAGGCCAGACTTGCAATTTCCAGTGGCATACATGGCTTCCAAGGTCAGCAAGTGCCCCAATCGTGTTGTCCAGATCGCCAAGCGCCTATTAGCTTACCTGAAGACTACGGCATCTATGAAGATGGTCATTGGGAACAAAGCGGACAACGAGTTCCAGCAGACTACGCCCGAGCTCGTCGCGTGGAGCGACGCGAGCTTCTCGCCAAGCGGTGAAAAATCGTTTGGGGCTTCCGTGGCTACGGTTAATGGCTATCCTGTAGCATGGAAAGCCAGCAAGCAAGCCTTCGTTACTCTTTCAGTGATGGAAGCAGAACTGCTGGAAGCTTCAACAGCAACGACGCTGCTTGAGAACATTGGATGTTTGCTAGACGAGTTGGTAGGAGCTCATGTTCCTCGACGCCTTCTTGTGGATAACGCCTCGGCAGTTTCGATGATTGCTGGAGGGCCAGGAAGCTGGCGCACGCGACATTTGAAAGTCAGGAGTGCCAAGATCAGAGAGCAAGTCGAGAACCTTGAGTTGCTAGTAGAACACGTGGGAGGCACTGGTCAGCTAGCTGATTTGGCGACTAAAATGCATGGAAAGGTTCGCCTGTGGGAATTGCTTTCTCTCTGGGGATTTAGAGGTCTACCAGAGGAGGCGATTCAGGCTTTGCATGCAAAGAGTCTCTACTTGACTTGCCTGATATGGGCGATGATGATTCAGCCGGCGACTGCAAATGACACCACGGATACCAGGATCCAGATGGCAGGAGTTGATGAGCTGCTGATTGTGACGGTGCTTGTGTGCTTTACGGCGGTCACGATATGGGAGCTCTTCAAGTATGGCACTAAATGGGTGTTGAAGGCTTGCAGGGAATCCCCCAAGCAAAGGCGCTTGAGGAAGCTAAGAGAGGCAGCCAAGGCTGCCGCTGAGGAGGAGGTTGATCGCGCGGTGCTTGCGCGTTCGGGAGAAACCACACCCCCGCCAGAACCTCATCCTACAGCGAGGCCTTTGAGAATGACATCGAGTCCAGAGTCCATGTACCCTACTGGTGCAGCTTTCGAGCGAATGGCCCATGATGCATTTTACAAGACGGATTCGAATCGTTCCCGTCTGCACACGGATCCTCAGTGCCACGGACTACGAAACGCGGGACCTGTGTTCAAGCTGGAGTACTGCGTTTATTGCTCCAAGAATGAGCCGATCTATGTCAAGAGATCCCGGTCTGAGCCGAGAAGACACCTATGAGCAAATGATGAAGCGGAGCTGTTGCTCTGCATTGCAAGCTTTGGCTGTGGAGCAGCTGGAATTAAATCAACCGCATTCTAGTGACCCAAGGACGGAGCTCCTGGGTCAAGGAGGAGTGTGGAAATTCTGGAGTGTGAGCCTCGCGTGAACCTTTGATGTCTGCAGGCTGATTGCTCCGAAGCAGGTCAGACGTTGTCAACACAGATGCTGTATAGCTATAGTAGTCCGCCGAAATAGGCAGTGATGAAGTATTGAACATTCTGAGTGGTGAAAAAAGTTAGTGTCCAAATTCGCACATGGCTCTGTGCTTGTGAAGCCGTACATCCAAGTGTACAACAGCAGTCATTCGGAAGACCTGTTCTTCTACATATTGCTATTATCATTGGTCACAAAGCTCTGGCATGTTGCATTCTGGTTGCACCTCGTCGCCATTAGGACCCCGAACAGTAAGAAGCCCTCCATTTCAAGACCGTCCGATAAAGGATCCCTGTACCGCTCGGCTGAACTTCATGGAAGGTTCTCAATCCTAACCCCTAAACGCTAAACCCTAAAACCCTATCGTAACCGCTGAACCCCGAAGCCCCCAGAACTCTCTTCGACCCACGACCTCGATCACTTTTTGGGGCTTCCGGGTTCCCTGTCCTGTTTCTCTCAAGACCACTGCCATGACGATTATTCTTAGTATTATTCTTGGTACTACTCTTATAAATTATTATGATTATCATGACTATGATTATTACTATGACTATGACCCTGACTCTTACCCTTACTATTGTTCTTGTTGGGCTCCCGACTTCTCGATGCCGGTGGTGGCACAGAGGGTTCCGGAGGGCTGGCATCGGTCCTCCCAGGGCTCGGCCCGAGTGGGGCTATTGTAGTTGGAATCGTGCTCCTTTTAAGGGGTTCTGTTACGGGGATCTATAAGAATAGGTAGAAGAGTCGTGTCACATTTCGGCATAGACAAGAACGGCCTTTGGAGTAAATGATACCATTGATAGGAACCAAGGCCTTGAATAGTGTTGCTTTCAATAATTCTGAGGGTTTTGGGGTCCAAGGTCACAGTATTTCGGGTTCAGGGTTTGGGGGTTAACATGGGGCTTCCCTAAACCCTAAACCCTAAACCCTAAAACCCGTGCCAAAGCAGCCCGCAGCTCCTTTGGATGTCTCATCTTTGGCAATATGGGAATTTCCGAAACTGAGGGGTGCCTTATTTGGGGGTCCTTATAATAAGGATCCTACTATTTTGTGTACTATATTAGGGTCCCCTATCTCCGGAAACCCCCATATGACTGCTACTCTGACTGCGAACCCCAACCCCTCGAGTACCGCCTTTTTGGGGGCAAGGCGGTATCGCTTGCACAACACCCGCGACCTCAATGCTTCGAAACCCTCAACCCTACACCCATCCCAAAACCTGAGATCCACCCCGGAGAGACCTCGAACCAGTTGTCATTCAAGACCTTCAGGTTGTACCTCGGCTCCAGGCGTCAACCGTGTCTGGCGCAGTGCGCTACAGGTGGAGGGTTCAGCGCTTGAGGTGTAAGGCAAAGCTTGACTCTGAAAGACTGCGGGTGTTGCAGCAAGTCCAGAAAAAAGACCTAGTCTTTCTTATAGATCCTGAATACGGTACCTTAAGTTCCTTAACAAGAACCCTAGTTCTTCTGGGTTTGGCCTCGCATGATGAATTGAGTGGAGACTAAAAGGTGCTGGTGCGGGACTGTGAATTTTCGGGGCTGGAGCACTTCCAGACAATTTGCACATCTTATGTGTGTGCTTCTCCAGTATATGCATATAGATTTTTCTCTTTCTCGTCTCGGTAATCTCTCATTCTCATGTTATCTCTCTCTCTATCTCTCTCTCTCTCGCGCAAATCTCTCTATCTCTCTGTCCCTCTATCTTCTATATGAAATTAGCATACCATCCCAACCTCGCGAGTTCTTGCAAACACGCACGTCTTAACTAGCATGATAGAAATCTACCTCCATCCCATCGCGGGCCTTGGGCTTGATTGAAATTTAGGGTTTAGGGTTTAGGGTTTAGGGTTTAGGGTTTAAGATTCTCGGCCTGAGGCTCGCGATTCTTTCACGACCGCCGCTTTCAGGCCAGCCACGAGACCGGATGTGTGGCCTTCAGATGTTCACCACTTCTCTTCTAAAATTGTAGTGCAATTGAATCCTACCCCCTGAAGTCTTAAGCCTCGAACTTTACTAAACCCTCGACCCCGAGGCTCCAAAACCCTTCACCCTCCCAAAAGCTCCATGCCCTGCAACCTTCAAGCATAAACCTGCAAAACCCTAAACGCCGAAGCCCTGAACCTCTGGGGTCCACAGGTAGGTCTCCGGCACGCCCGTCGCCATCGCAGCTGCTAGCAATCTGGGGCCTCGGTCTGGGATGGTTTTTGGTTTATGCAATGTGCAAGGTTCAAGGATTACCGTCAAACCGGACGTTTTAAAGCAATGTGGACAAAGTTCCTGAATATGACCCTAATATGGGTGCTGCTCAAAGGCCATGTGCTAAACACCCTCTCGGCTTCCTAGCAGGAACATCGTTTCACGTGACGTAATCGGGTGCTGGGGGTTTTGGGAGCCGGAAGCCGGCGAGTGGGCTGAGGCTTCGCGCTTACCTTGAAACCCCGGTAGTAAACATCTTCCGCTGCAAAGCCTGACACGGAAGCCCCCCATCCTGGCTCCCTCAAACTAGTTTCGGACAGAAAGGCCGTTTACTCTGGATCCATCAACTTTCATCCGTTTTTGGAATCCTCCTTCGATGAAGGCTTTAGGGTCTGCCCGAGTCCACACTCACTGCTGAATGTTTTTCAACGGATCGGCCGGCACTAGACCTCCAATTGGACACGTCGCTTGACAAGCACGCATGCTCGCGTCACGAACTGGGTTCCTCAGTATCCTCCGCGATTCGTTCGGGTTTGTACGATCGTATTGCGACAACAAAAAGCCGCAAAGCATGCACTCCGAACCGTGAACGTCTAGATTGCCCTGTTTCAGAAAGCATGTGTAATCAAACAACCACAAGTCACGTTTACCGTAAGCTCGGGCTTCAGAAACACCAGGAACTTGCTTCGAGACGAAACACATGTTTTAATGAACAGAACCTTCGGACATTCAAGCATGCCTCGCCTCAGACCGCATATGTGGTTGTTTTGTTACTGGCCTGCGTGAGAAAACGGAATCCGAAACCGGCAAAGAAATACGGCCCAGGACATCCTTTAGCTTCTTTAGTCCTCTCTAAGCTCAAGGAACAGCGGCACCATAAACTGGACGTCGCGGAGTGTTGGTTTAATAGTTTGCAAATGTTAACAACATCACTGCATTTGGTGCTCCAAAGGTGTATGCTTGAACATGCTGCAGGTTTGAGGTAAGACTTGAAACACTTCCAACCGCATGCCACAACCCCGGCCTCCTTCCATCAGCTTGCATCAGAGAGCATGCCATGATGAGCTGTGACTGCAAGCAAGTCGCCGCTGAGATTTGCATCGTTTTCTCATTTCGAGGCACCATGCATTAAGCTTGTCGCCGTAGTCGCATCATGTCTCTATGTGTTATCTTGTCGTATTGCGCGTCATACAGTAAATCCTCGTATACTAAAGTAACTCTAGTACATCACAGCGTACTATAGCATATCATAGTATCAATTTGAGTTCATGAATGTGTGTGCTGTGTGGGTTGCATATATCAACTCGAACAGAATGACATGTCTCTCTGAGATTCGAAGCTCTAGCTAGACTTTTGAGAATATATGCCCGCTAATCCTGGCGTCAAAGTGGACACATTTTGGTGGAAAGTGTCGGAGCTTCTGGAATGGGCTTCAAACATGAAACCTGCAAATCCGCAAATAAGATTTTGTAAAATACCAAAGCCCATCATAGTGTAGTGTAGCCTGGTATCGTGTGCTCTCGTATATTACTATACGCTATGGAAAACTGTAAACCCGCAAGTTGGGCTTCCTGCCCGAAACCCCAATCACACGAAGCACTGACACTCAAGCTTTAAACGGAGTACAGACCGATCATAAAGTCATAAACAAGCCCTCGAGTAACACGGAAGACACTTTAGCCTTAGATCCCAAAAAACCTAAACCTTAAGCCTAGACTAGGCCTCCAACTCCACCTGCCACCGGAAGGTGCAAACGGGCAGGGGCGAGCGGTGATGTCTGGGCCAAAACGTCGCGGGTTTCGGCTTGAAGGTTTGCGCCCGGTTTGGGGGTTAGGGTTTCGCGTTTCAAGGTCCAGGTTTTCAGCCTTGAAGTTTTCCGGCCGACCCCTATAGAACCCTTATAGCACCCTTACAGGAACCCCTGTAGATCCCTTGAACCCTAAACCCTAAAACCTAAACAAGGCTTTAGGAATTCGGGGGCCAAGCATCGGAGCTTCTTGGGGTGCTTCTACTACGGACTTCGGCCTTGAAGCTTCAGGGGATTCGAGAATTTTCCTTAGGGTTTAGGGTTTGGGGTTTAGGGTTTACGGTTTGGGGCTGGGGTTTGGGGTGTAGTGGCCCCTTCTCTCCGCCGAAGCAGTGACAGACCCGCCTGGTGCAGGCTTACACCAGAACCCTGCCAAATGCAAGTGCCGGGAAAACTCAATCAGCCAGCAGCGAAATGCAGACACCGACAGAACATCAAGTGTCAGCTGCACAGCCAGACTCAGACACCTGCAACACATCAAGTATCTCGACTACGGCTACGATGCGGATTCAGCACTGGGGTTCAGACGAGGACGAAGACGACATCTCACCCTCCAGCATGTACTCATCATCGTCATCACGAGAGATCAGACTCCATGCAAGAGGCAGGCCATCCGAGATCCCAACCAGAGTCAAAGCCTCTCCAGCTGGAGTACCCGTAGCCAGAAAAGCCGGGTCGACACCTGAAGTAGCCGCCAGGGGACTGGACCCAACTCCCAACGACACCGTACTTGAGGTCTGAAAGTCACCCTCCTCCACCGGACCACTGCGCAGAAGAGGAGGTGGTCGTGGCACTCGATGCCG